ACATGTCCAGTACCTGGGTATTGGGATCAATGTGTTCTGGAATCTGGATTAACTGACGATCGATGCATTCCACCGTCTGCTTGCCACCCTTCCATTTGCAGGCGCACACCGTCTGACAGGTGCTCAACTGCTGGGCAGGTGGATCCAGTTCAGAGCCCATGGAGTGATGACCAGGTGGTGGTGGTGGTGGATAATGATGCTGATTGTAACCATCCTCGTCATTGGTTGACTATCGCCACGGAGTAGACTCGTTCTGTGATGACTGGGAGGATCGACTGGATGATGTTGAGGAACTTCCCTGCGCAGCTCCAACTGCTCCTCCTCCTCCTGCCACTCCATTGGCATAGAGATGCAGCTGATGATGATAGCGATTGCCCAGGATAAATCCAGGCAGCAGTACCAGGATTGCAAGTCCTATGATCTGCATTTTCCTTGGCTTTTCCTTCAAGTCTTCTAGTTTGGGGTTGAGCTTTCTAGGCTAAAGCCCAGCTTGGTTTGGTTTTCAGTAACGATATCATATAGTTTAAGTTTAAGTTCTTTTTCCCTTATGATAAGATAAGTTTTATTCTTTTCACAGGTTGTCATTGATTAGTTTATTATATTTTTACTTTATTTGAGTCTTTTTTTTGTGTGTTTTTGTGATATGGAAACTTTATTTAATTATTTAATAATGTTTAATAAGCTTTCAGCTTGGTTTTGTTACTTTTCTTGATGTGTCTTGTATTTTTCTTTGATATATGGAACATTTTGTGTTGCCTTGTCTTTTTTTTATTGTTTTCTTGATTATTTTGCTTGATTTTAAGGATTTGCTTGGCTTTCGTTTAGTATCCTTGGGGTTTCTTTTTTAGTTATTTATTTTTTTAATTATGATATGGAATTTTTTGCTTATGGGTCAAGCGGAAAATTGATTAATTGCCGCCTTGGCCTCACTTGTTGTTGTTGCTGTTGCTGGTGGTGGTGTTGCGGTTTTGGCCAAGATTTTCATGTTTCGCCGTAATTAGCCAATGTTATTTATAGGGCTAGCCTATAAACACACACAAAACACTCCGCACACACCACACACACACACACTCACTCACACTCGCCTGGATGATAATCGTTTTTATTTTTTGCTTTTTTTTCTATTATTATTTTGCTACGCAACTTTTGCCAGCAGCACAAATTTTCCTCCGCTTTTCTTGCTTTTTCACGTGCTGAATTCTTTAGTGTGTGTGCATGTGTGTGTATTTTTTTCTAGCTTCTGTATATATTTTCTTAATTTTTTCCTGGGGTTTTTTTGTTAGCGCATTTTGCCACGCAAAGCTTTAATTCGCATCGCGTTTTTTTCGTCGTTTTTCGGTTTCGGTTAAGGTTTCGTTTTCGTTTTCGTTCGGTCCAAACTCAGGATGATACGCAACCGAAGGGGGGAGGGTCAGTTCCAAAACCGAGGGGGTGGAATTTTGTGACTGTGGTTTTTCCGAGATTGTGTGCGATTTGCGATTTGTGGTTTTCTTCTCTTTTTCTTTCACTGCACTGCAAACAACAAAACAGTGGTGAATCCTGGCCAAGGGGGACTCTTTATGCATCAGCATCAGCCACACACACACACTCGCGCGGACGGGCAGACACACACACACACACTCCACAGCGAAGACGACGGCGACGACAAGGACGACGGCAGGCAGCGATAACGATGCAACCGCTCGGCAGCTCCGACTTGAACTGACTTTATTGAACTTGATTCTAAGCTTCAGCGGTCGCTTTTCGTGTTCGTTTCGAGCCGAAGTGACTTCGGCCATTCGGCTCACCGTTCGTACTCAGCGAGAGAAAGCCAGAGAAAGTACCGGAGAGAGCCGAAAGGTTTGAGCATGTTGCTGTAACCGCTTCGCAACTCTGCAACATGTTGTGCAACATGCAACATGTGGACGCAAAAGGAAGTACAAAGGATTAAAAATACGTGAAAAAAAAAAACAAAATAAACATGAATGGAATAAAACGAAATTACGCACGCCTCCGTTGTAAAGATTGTGAATTATCCTGGCGCAATATAAATAAAAGGATTTATGCGATATAAATAAACTGAAAGGAAAGCGTGGACCGGATTGTCTGACATCATTAAAAATCCTTTTAATTGAAGCAAAGTCAATTTTTTGTATGGTTTTGTGTAGACAATTAGCTCAATTTAAACAAGAATCTGGAAGGTTTAAAAGATATTAATTATTAAATGGTTTTTATTTTACCCAATAAAATTTCAATTTAATTTTATATTTTTAATACAGATTTCTTTAGGTATACAAAATGTTAACAAATTAATTAAAACAATCAAATAAGACATTACTTTCTCACAGCTTTCAAATGTTTTTAGTTGTATCTGCTAAAAAAACTATGTTAATTTAATTGTAACATATTCAAAACATTTTCTAATTCCTGGAAATCTGCCAACTCTATTATGTTTTACTTTTTCTGTCTCTCTCTCTTCTCCTTGGTACATCTTAACTTTCCGACTAATTAACTTCGTTTGCCCAAGTTTAAGTTATACTAGGTAGAAGAAAAAAAATAAACCAAGTTTTGTTTACAGCTTTCGAGTTACTTGGGATATAGATATATTTCCAACAACTCGCTCCCCATTCTGTATTCTTTATTCCCACTGCCTACAGTCAATCAGCGATCAACCTACTCAGGCATGAAACACCAACGTCCAAAAAAAAAAGAAGAAAACAAAAATAATAATATGAAAAAAAGGCAACGAAAAAATCCGTCAGATAGAAGTAACAACAAAAAGAATTGCTTAGCTTGCAGCCGGCACAGACGAATAAGTAGCTGAAAAAAAAACAAAAATAAAGCAGAGGGAAAAGATAGCTTGGCTTCGCTTCGCGCTTTGCTTCGCTTCTGCTTTGGCTTCGAGTGCGGCGCAATTTCAGTCTTGACCCAATGAGTCACATCCGCCAGATACGAGATGTACAGTTAGCATCGATAAGGGAAAGCCATCAGAACTTTCAGGTATTTGTAAAGATCACAAAAAATTACATATTGAAGATTAAGATTTTATAATCGATGGAACTTTTTACATTTGAATCGATATTTATATTTGTAATCGATATTTATCGATTCGAGTATTCATTTTTATATAATATTATTATTATCTGGAACCCTTTTGATGGAACATTAAGTTTCCAAAAAATAAAAATACCATTCCTACACCTATTAATTAAATTAGTGTTGAAGATACTTATTAAAAGTTAAAAATCTTTATTGATAGTTTAATATTTTATATATTCATTATATTTAATCAATTTTGTTTGTATTTTATTTTCTCATATCTCAACAGTTTTCAACATTAAAGTAATTTAAATTGGTTTTTGCTGTAATTTGAGTTATCAATTTTCTATTTTATTTTCTATCTATATCTTAAAATTTTACGTATTTTCTTATTATATTATAGCATTGAAAATATTCAATATATTCCTAAAATGATATAAACTAATGCTCACTGTCTTTTGAATGGGTGAGTCGAATCCAGTGAATGAATTCATTGCATGGTGTTCAGCAAATTTCACAATTTGATGATTTTATGACCAAGTTGGAATTGTTCATTCAAGATCGCTTTACATATGTACTCCCCGGCTGCTTAGAGAGATCTGCTAAGCTATAGAAAATGAAAAATAAAAACTATCTCGGTGGCTCGTTTAATGATGCCAAAGACTGTGGAGCCAGAATGGCGAAGAGCTCTAAACTAATTACCCCGAGGGCCCGGGGCTTTTGTGGAGTGGATGTGGATGTGAATGATGCTGAAATGGCGTATAAGTTACTTCACCTGCGGATGACTCCGGGGGCAGGTACATGATACCACTCTCATGTATCTCCCTCTCTCTCTCTCTTTCTTTTTTGGCCAGACAGGAAGCGCTGGCAGTGTTGCCTGTTTCCAGTTACCAGTTTACCTTACCTTACCTTAGCTTACCTTACCCTACCTGTTCTGCCAACGTATCTATCTACCTGTCTTTATTGCATACGTATATATGAATGAAATTGCATCGCCGCATCTCACAGCACCAGCAGATGCCTTCGTCCAGATTTAGATTGCCTGAGAAGTTTTCGCAGCAAACTTGTTTACGGCCAAAGAGAGGGAAGAAAAAAAGATACATAGATACGATGCCTGCTCCACAGTTGTTGTTTTGTCCCCTTTTCCGATCCAAAGAAGATGGTATAAAAAAAAACACGCGATGCATATGCTTGTTACACTCGAAGATACATTTCCAGTGCAGATACATTTCCATTTTCCCACCCACACGACCCACCCACCAGCAAGCGAACTCAACATCGTAGACATTGATTAAGGTCAGTTATGATTGTGTATTGTTTTCTCGCATCTCCACTTCGCTTCGCTTGCCTTGTCTAAGCTTCAAAAAAGTGAAATCTCTAGCGTGTTTCGGGAGTATTGTTTGTTTGTTGTTTTTTCCCCTCATCTTCATTTTCATTTTTTTGGTAAGTCGTTGCTGGGCAGCCAAGCATGAGCGCTCCTCAGGTACTACTCCAAGAACTCTAAGCAGATTGGTTTGAAAGTTGGAACTTTATTCGCTTGAATTATTATGTGGAAAATACATCTGCTCATGTTTGTGACATCTTATGGTATGTCAGCCTTTTGGCAACTTAACTCAAGTGCCACAATTTATGTTTATGTTGAACAAATTTGTGTAAAAAAAGCGTCTTGTGAGTCAAAAATAAATAAATGTCATTTTTATCTGCAAAGAAAATATTGTAAAAGTAAAGTAAATATTTGTTAGAGTTTGAAATATTTACACGATGATATTTAAAAGGAGTTTTAGAAACTAGAACTTAAAGATACATAGAAAATAAATGTATTATTTAATAAAATATTTACATAAGAATATATATTTAATTGAAATGATACAGCTTGATTTCTGTTTACTCCATTAATAAAAACTTTTCGCTATTAACTCTTTTTTCTTTGCTCTTGCAATTTGTAGAAACCGCCTATAATTTAATGAATCAAAAATGCTTACTACTGGAATAAATTAATACTTTATTTGCCACATTAAAAAACCGTACTTCCTTTCTGGCTTAAACCATTTCCCCTCCTCTCTCCCCCCAACACTTTTGGCCACGCTTGACCGTCTTTGATGATCTTTTGCTTGAGTTGGCGAAAGTAGAACTCGGCCATTATGCAAAATACATTTTTTCTGACGGCGGAAGTTGGGTAGGAAAAATGCTGATCGGTGTTGCATATGATCAACAAATTTTGTCGATTTCTTTTTTCTTTACCATATATATTTTTTCACTCTTGGCTGACTCCCCCAACTTCTTCTATAGGTATATAAATTTTGTTGACTTTCACGTTTCGCATTCAGCGCACTCTCCTCGGTACGCAACAATTAGCCGCATTTAATTGGCCAAAAACGCTGTTTGCTATTTGCTATTTGCGCTACGCTTTCTGCACTTGTGTCTGGGCCTGGCCAAGAAGCAGAAGAAAAAACATACCGCTAATCTTTGAGGCCGAACAACTTCCGCCATCGGGTTGGGGGTTTCAAAACTGTTAAATTTACAGTGTAAAGTGCGCAATTAAAAATCACAGCAGCCGCCGTGAAGAAGATGACTTTTGAGTTTGTCTGCCAGCGCAAAAAAAAAACATTTTTGCGTTCATAATTTAAAAAATCACCTGGTCCTGGCGGAGTTTCAAGTGAGAGGAGAGGAGAGGAGTGCTTCTGTTTCTGTTTAAGGTAGCTTTTGTGACTGTAATGCTGCGCCTAATTGCCCTTAATTTATTTAACTTCAAGCTGAGGCCCCTCCCAGACTTCCTCAGACCTCTCATCGGAGTCAAGGGTTCGCTGCGTGTCCTTTTGGGTCACTTGGGACGTGGCTCCTTCTTGGATTTGAACAAGTGTCTGGTGGGTCCTTTTGGTTGGTTTGCTGTGCTGTTCCCAAAGCAAAATCCGGTCAAGTGCGTTAAAGGTATTCGGCAATTTGTCATGATCTCTGTAACGATTAATGCGAAAATCTCTTTAGAAACTGAAAAAGAAAATGCAGAAAAAGCCATTTGAAATTTGTTAAATACAAACATCATTAATAAGTCGGGAGGTCTCTGCTAATTGGTGTTTTATGTTTTGGATTTTATAAGATTATGTTGGGAAGAGGGTTTTTTATTTATGATATAATAAATAACATTTATAAATACTTTTGAAAAAGTTAAAATAGTCTAAAGTTCGTAATAATGCAAGTGATATATTTTACTCTATTGATTGTATTATTTATCCTTTGAACTCTACTGCATTTTACCTATAATATAATGCTTAAATTCAACAATTTGCTGCAGCCATTAAATATGCTTGAGCTCCTCCATCAGCGTCTAGTTATGTCTCCATCTTGATTTATCTCTGCTTTCAACATTTTGCGGGGAAAATCGGAAAATTAGTGGGAGGCGGTCAGTAAACGCTCTAATTATTTTCAAACAGCTTGGACTTAAAATGTGTCTGTATCTCTCCTTCTCTCGGAGGAATTGCATTGGTCCAAAAACACTTTATCTTCATTTTGGGGGCATTAAGCCGCTTAGTGCAGTCTCTGGCGAGTGTCTAGTATCTTTTGCTGGTCCCCTGCTCCGGCATTTAAAACAGATTTTCTCTGCTCTGCTGAAAGGACTAAAATTTTAGTCTGGGGTAATTATTCAAAGCGTTTCAAATTAGGTAATTTGCCCTTTAAAGAATCATTCTAATTATTTATGTATTTATGTGTGTGTGTGTGGGCCAGAGTAGAGTAGAGTAGAGCATACACACACCAACACCCACTTGCATTGCATATCACCCCGGCACTGTCATCGGTCTGACCTCCGACCCCAGGCTCTGCCACGCTTGTTTGCGGCCTTGATTAATGGAGTCGTCCTGCGGCCGTTCGTCGCCTGGAGCAATCCTGGGAGAAACAATAACAACAAAAGCAATGAAATTCTGGTGTTAGGGTAGCGCAGGATATGCAGGACTAGTGATTAAACACATATTTAATATTTAAATAATAAGTACTAGTTAATAAATGGTGTAAAAATAATATGGTTTAATTAAATTATAGACTTTTGATTATTTACTTAACTCTTGAATAAGGGAGAACATTGTTTATTAAGAGTTTTATTTAACTTAGTATTCGTATTTCGTTTTTTTCTGTGCTATGGATAATATCACCTCTGCGAAGGACATACTCCTTCTCTGATAAAAAAACTGTTAAAACGGGGCTCTGAGGACTGAGAGGACTGCGACAGGGACTAGGACAGGACAGGACTACGATTTGCGGACTTGGTCTGCCCCGGCTTGCCTTGTTTTGTTTAGATTTATGTCAAATTGTTGGGGGTGGCCATGCGCCACGCAATGCCATGGGGGTTGACTCTCGACTGTGGGTGCCTCCAGGGGTGGCAGGAGCAGGAGCAGGAGCTGGGGCAGGCAGTGCTCCTTTTAAGCTTTTCAATCAAATCGCGCTTAAGTGGTTTCCAGTTTCAGTCCAGCTTTTGGGTCCGAGGCGCCACCATAATTGGCCGAAATTAATTGTTCGTCTAATCAGTTCATTGGATGCGACGGCGGCGACTGTTTCGACCATTGAACTTTGCGGCTTAGAGCCGCAGCGAACGTGGCCCGAAACGAGTACCAAAAAAAAAAAAAAACCGATGGTCGATTCCAAATATCGATGAAAATCGGCTTTTATGGTAATCTCTGTGAGAGATGAAATTGATTTTGGGCGGCGCCAATTTATGGGCTTTCATGCGAGTCGGGTTCCTAAATCTCTTGGTTCTTAATTGAAAAATCTGTTTGTAAATCTATAAAGGTTTAAGTGATACTGAGGCTTGGGGAATGATTTTTAAATCAATTAATAATATTTTTGTCAACCAAAAATACTGAATTAAATGTGATTAGTTTAAACATTCTATCAATATTAATTAACACTTTCAGACCCAGGGAAAATCAAATTTTATTCCCTTATCTTTGGTTTCATTTTGTCCGTTCTTTTATTTTTCGTTTTGTTCTCATCGAAAAGAGTTAAAATCCAATTAGACTGGCATTCCTGTTGACAGTTTTCACACATTTTTCCATGGCTGTCATTGGTCTTCACCAAATCCTTTAATCGATGTCCAGCTTATCCCATTAGGCAATCACAATTTATATGTCTGCGGCAAAATCATTCCCATACTTTGGGTGTGTCATCATTAATTACTTGAACGGAAGTTACATTCCATCCGTTCGCTTTGGTCGCTCATTCACTCACTCGTTCATTCATTCACTCATTCATTCGTTCATTCACTTGCTTGGGCCTTTTAATTTTCTATGATTTATGCGTAATTTGCTTTCGAACCGAACCTGCTGTCCATTTAAGAGGACGGGGGACTTCCCCCGCCCAGCTTCGCTTCACTCTTGGCTCAAATGCCGCAGGAATGGAGACATGTGCACCTGTGTGTTGGCCACATCCTGTGCAAGAGAGGAACAGCAAATAAGCCAAAGTGAAATGGAAAAAAAAAACTTGCAGAGGCAGACCAAGTCATACAAATACCAGAACTGCACAAAGGTAAGTCTGAACGACTAGTAGATATCTCGCAATGAATGTTTTTGTTTTAGTATTGTTAGTTATAATCATTTTAAAGAGCTATAAATCTTAGTTGGCCCTGTTTTCTATTCAATTTTATTTGCAAATCAAAGTAGGCCTTGCTGCTTCATCCCGAGCTATTTAAGTAAAGTTTTCAGTTGATTCAGTTCATTCTCTTGGTGAGTCCCCAAGGTGAAACATGTTATTTTGAGCTCAACTTACTTCTTTATATTTTGTTATATATTTTTTTTTACTTTGCTAGAACTAAAATCTGTTTATTTCTTTTTCCTAAAGCAAATTATAATTTTTGTTAATACTAAGGTCCCTCGCTTAGTCAATGTTACGAATAAACCACTCAGCACCAGTAATTCTCCGCAGGAACTTGCTTTGGAAGACCCGGATGCAACTCACATTAGTTTTGGCCGCTATGCCATAAACTTGAATCCCATATCTCCAAGTGGGGGCAAGTTGGACTTGTATATCTGGACCTTATTCACCAGACTGAGTTGTAGGGGCACAGTTGCAGGTGGCCTTAAATAGGGGACACTTATTGTCTCTGGACCGATCCTTGCTTTTTTCTCATCTATAAAATGTTGTTTTCATTTATTTTCTCGTTCCAATTTTTATGTTGTTTTCATGACATTTAAGTTTTTGTTTTTTTTTTTAGATTTTTTCAAAGCAAATTAAAATTATAAATATTTATTTATTTTTGACTTGTCTGGTTATTTGGCTTTCAGTTCACTGCGTTTATAAATATATATCAAAACTTTTTTTTTTATCTTGAAGCAATTTAAAATTACATATATATATATTTTTTTGTAATGTAGCCTAAACTCGGTACTCTCTTTGGATTTTGCTACCTTATTTTCTGGTTTAACTAGACCTGCTTCCATACTCGTGGAGACCCTCGAGGCAAGAACGTGGCGGAGAATGACTGAGTTCGGGCTTGGATTCAGAGCTCCAAGACCAGAGTCCTGGGTATGGGTACTCGGTCCCGCAGGTCGAGTCACCTGAGAGTCAAGTAAGCTCTGCCTGTGACCAAATATTGGGACTGAGACTGAGACCTGAGACTCAACTCCGAGTCGGACTCTGTCGGCTATTAAGTGTCAATGGACTTCTGCATGAATGAGTTGTGCGACTTCTGGTCGTTGCGTTTGGGACTGCTTTCTGTTCAGGTCTTTCACATGGTTTCATTTAAATTTCAATTGCCGAAAATAAATCTCTGGACATCTAGAAATTTTCAGGCATAATTTTATTTATAGAAGTTATTGAAATATTTTTTGGCCAGGCGTCGGAAACTTCATGTGGTGTCCAGGGGCTACAGTGGCTACTCCTCCCTCCTCCTTAATTAAAATGTACAGCCGCAAGTTCAGCTGTAGGTACGTGCCACACAGGAATCGAGGCTGGAATTGGTGGCCCAGGGGGGCATAATTTTCCAGGAAGTCCTTGGGGTCCTAAAGGAGGCCCACAGCAGGACGGCCAAATGGCAAAGATGAAACCTTAAACCCCGGACTCATTATGTAATTCAGGCAGCACATTCTCGGAGCTTATCACAGCGATACAAAATGCCAGCGAGGAGACCGTGATAAGATGCCAAAGAGGCTAAGGTTAATGGGAAATTAATATGGTTTTTGATAGGAAGGATAACTAGCTTTAAAAATAGGAAATTAATTTAAAGATCTAATTAATAGTTGGTAAAATGTTTCAAAGTAGCACTAAATAATTTTAATTTTCTCCTTAAATTATTCAGAAAACCCAACGATAAATTTAAAGACTCCAAGGAATAGCTGAAAATGAATCTTTTTGGCTGAATGAAAAGTGTCATTTCTAATCTCTCTGCTCTTAATCGGTCGTGACACGCTTTCATCTCCATTTTCCACCTTCTGCTGTTATGCGTCCCCCGACTATTTAGTGGCTGCATTAAATCTTCAACTAAATATTAAACGATGTCTCTCCCCCTATACTCTCCATCTCCCTCAAGATAGATAATAAAAGGTCGTGGCTTCAGTTTTATGCCACTTATTGTTCCGTTGCTGCTGCTGGTGGGTTGTGTGTATTGTGGTGCTTGAGATTTTGAAGGCTTGTCGAGTAATAAACGGGTAACCTCCCTTAATCCTGGCAGCACAGTTGGAAATATTTTCATTAGCATTAAGAGGCAATAGAAGCCAGGACGAAAAAAGAAATATATATGTATAGCCGAAAAAGGGAGCGAGGAAAAAAAAAAATAATAGTAGTTGAGCTTGCCGCACATTTCCACGTGTCTGGCTGGTAAATCTTGGGGCTTGAGTTGATAAGGTTTTTCCCCTCCCTTTTAGACCAGTTTTCCCTTGCTTATGTCTTATCTTCAGCATAAGTTTTCCTCGCCGCGTGTGTCGTCTTTTTTTCTATCTTATTCCCATTCCCTGTGTTGGCCTTTATGGCTACGTGTTTGGCAAACGGAAGTGGCCAGAATGGAAGCTTATAGTACATGTGATGTGTGTAAAGGCAAGGGGACCCTGTGATTTATACACCGCTGTTTAATGCCCTAACGACACCCATTAGAAACAATTGCGAGAAGTTTTAATTAAACATCGCCGCTCATTAGCTTGCCATCTTGCCAGCGGATATGATGTTTTTCTTTTGCCAGCTGAATTTCCATAAACGCTACTCCCTCGTCCAGATCTTTGAAGAGAATTGGCTGTAATTACGCTTTTTTCACGCTCCAATTGCTCATTTCCGTTCGCAGCGAATATTATATTTTACTTTCCGTTTTTTAGTCGAGAAATTACAAATAGTCTTGAGGATTGTCTAGAGTCTAGAGTCGAGAGCCTATGAGTCTAGACCTTAAATCTGAGTCAAGCGGAACGCAATGAGTTTCATTTACGATTTTTCGCCTTGAATGAGTGCCTCCTCTATATATGAATCATTCTCATGGGTTCTATATATGGATTGGTTCTGTTTAGTTGGAAATATCGGAGCATGCTTCATAGCAAGCCATCGAAGTGAAAAGATATTGCATTTTAAGATTTATTTTTAATAGATGATTCAACGAATTGTAGATAATACGGTATTGTGAGTAGATTAAATACGTATACATTTGATTAAATACATACAAAGAGTAATTATTTATACTTTAAAGAAGAGATATATTCTGATTACCTATCTAATACTATTTATGAGGTAACCTAGCAATCTTTTCCTTGAAATGTTCTCCAAACCTTCACTATAAAACTATAAAAAATCCTTAAAAGTACAATTAAACAACAAGGAAATGTAGAGTCTCAACAACATCTGGCAGTGATTAGCTGATCCTTGATCCTAGACTTTGCACACTTCAACTGGACTCCTGTACAACTGTTTGCGACAACTTTTGCCAGGCTAACGCCAAGTGACTTTCAACTCGGCAACAATATGGCTAACATATTATGGCCATTTGTACTCGAGTGTATAACCGGCAACACCCACAAGGACACAAGGACAAGGACAACAGCCATAACGGAGACAGAGAGACAGAGAGAGAGAGTGTGAATTCTCCTCTGGCTAAACTGTAACAGTGACAATCAACTGGAGGGAAATAAACTCCGTTGGCCAAGGATAACAAGAGCCTCTCCATTTTCCTCCCTCCCCCTGTTGACCACTCTTTCCTGTTACTACTACTTCTACATGCCCACTTAGTCCATCTCTTTCTAGGGCCCCTGTTGCCATCCTTTTTCGCCGTTTAAGCTGCCGCGAGACTTTTGACTTCCTGCGGCAAAAAACAAGGACAACAAAAACAAGAACACGAAGTAGGCTTAGGCTTCCAACTGTGAAAATGTTGCCTCCCAAAAGCTAGCTTGGATTTTGGTGTTTTTGGGTGAGGCAAAAGAGGTGCCAGGAGGAAGGATAACAAGGAGGAGCAGGAGGTGTACCCCATACGCCGCACTAAATTGCGGCTTTTTGCAGTCCAACAATGAGATACTTCAGAAAGAATTAGTTGCACTAAAAATTGCTAAAGTCGCACTCGGCCAGACTTTCACTTTCCCTCTCGCTGGGGTTTTGTGTTTTTAGCTTCCTCTTGATTTCTAGTTATTTTTATTATTTTTAGTTTTTTGGTCCTTGGGCACAGCATGGGTTAAAGTCTCTCAGCTGCAAAAAAGAGGAAGCCAATGCAAGGATAACTCGCTGGCAGCCATGGGAGTTAGAGCCCGGAGCGGAGCCGGAAACGACGACTGTTTTAGCGGTTTTTTGGCTGGACACTTTATCCTGCCGCCTGCATTTCGCTTCTGTCTATGTCCTTCCTTGCCTTTGTGTCTCCAACCAACACCCTAAAATGGTACACCAATATGTAATATATAAATGTGTGAGAAATTTAACATTTTTAGCTTTAGATTTTATACTTAAATGAAATTGTTCTCTTGCATTTGAAGATTATAGTTTTATTAAAGTAATTTCGAGTGGAAAGAATAAATTTCAAGTTATTTAATACCTTTTCTTAGATTTTTTTATTACTTACAAAAGTCATGCTTTTCGGAGTATATCTTTTATTTAATTAGTTTTTAAGTTCAAAGAGAAGATTGTAGACAAATAATTGATTGATAAATACATTTTTATACCCATGCGGAGGGCATTATATTTTTTGTCATTAAAGGAATCATTTTCGTCCCTTAAATCATATATATTCTTAATCAGCATGAAGAGCTGAATCGATTAGCCAGCTGAGACAGAAAATAAAAATTTAAAATTTTTTCTAAATTTTACATGCAAAAATTTACTTTTTTAAACTGTCAAAAATTGACAAAATTTTAAAAGTTTTAAAATTGTTTATTGAGTATGCAAATTTGTTAACCTAAAAAACTAACACAGGACAGCTTTCCGAATTAAAATTAAAGCTTTTTGGCTAAGTTGTGAGATTTTTAAGCTATGATGTGTTGAACAATTTGTCATTAAAAATATAAATAATATTGACTCAAGAAATGGTATTATTATTTTTAGTCAGAAGCTTGTAACGCTGTGAAGGAGTCATTTCCGACCCTATAAACCTTATATATTCTAGATCAGCATCAACAGCCGAGTCGATCTAGCCTTGCCACTCTTTTTTTCAGAAATTTTAAAATTTTTATCGTCAAAATTGTCAAAAATTAAGAAAAAAAATTAACATTTTTTCATTGCAATTAAGTATGCAGATTTATCAAGCTAATAAAAAATAGCATAGCAAAGCTTTCCGAATTAAATTAATGCATATTTGCCTTAGGTATGGGTTTTTTAACATTTAATTGCAGATAAGATTGTAATATAAAAATATATACCTCGGCCCTTGCAAAATTTGGATTTCCGAAGTTAACTTTGTTTCTTGTTAAAACTGTCTCCAAATGAAACAATTTTTATTTATTTAGTATTATTATTATTATTTAAATATTAACGGTATATTTAAATGGTTTTTTACTATCTTATTAAGTATAGTAGAGTACTTTTTAAACTTAATATATCTCTTTTCATTTGTTACTGTGTTTGTTGGTCTACTGGTGTTCTGCATCTTCTCCGGACCATGAAGTGGCATTAGAATAAAGACGACGCTTTTTCCGCTTGCCGCTCCATGGCCACCACTTCTCCTCCTCCTCTTTAATTTTTTTTTATTTTGTTTTTTTTCTAAACCTTTAACTCTATTTTTTACAGTTTTATTTGTTGCTGCTTTACAGCGTCGTTTAGTTGGTCCAAAAAAGTTGCAGTTGCCGCAATTTCTGTTTCTGTTTCCGCTTTTTTTTGCTCAGCTCTTGTTCTTTTCTTCTTTTCCTTTTTGAAGGCCAACGGCAATTTGGTTTCTGTTGCCAAAGTTGTTAGTATTGTTAGTGCTGTTAGTGCTGTTATCTAACATGTTTTAATTCAAGGCGCATCGCTTGAAATTAAACTCAAGTTTTCAAGCGTGACGCGTTGCATATGTAGTAGTATATGTGAGTGTGGGTGTGGGAGGTCTGAATTGGCCAAGTTACAAGGGGGTACATTGCACATGGCAAATTTAGCGTAAAATTTTACTTCATCTTGTCGCATTTCTTTTTTTGTTGACGAAATAACAGTAATTACACTCCAAATAAGTTGCACATGAAGATATTTTGAGTTAGAAAATAAGGAAACATTTAGAATATAAAACAAAGATATTATAAAGGTTTTTACAAGATATACTAGATCAAAAATTTATATTTATAAATGTAAATAAAATGTATTTCTACTAAAAATTCAAAGAAAACAAAAGTTTTTTATAGCAATATTAGCTAAATTGAACCTATTTTAAATATTACTTGAATACACATCACATGCCTCCCTCCACTTAAGTAGATTTCTTATAAAAATCATAATACTTATTGAATTATATTTAGAATATTTTTTAAATTTATTCATTTAAAACAATCTTATATCTTATTTCCCGTATTTTCTTTCTGTGTTTACTTTCTTCTTCCTCTATCTTTGACCGCTTCTTCCTCTTTTTCGCTCTGTTTCACTGAGAAATTGTCACTGTCATTGCATTCGTTATTGTCATTGGGGTTTTTTCTTCTTTTGCTTACATAAAGCATTTTGCTTTGATTGCCGTAACTGATACAACATAATTATATGACCAAAACCAAAAGTAACTGAAGCCAAACCCCAAAAAACCCAACGAAACTAAACCGAAACTCCCCTAAAAAACCCCTTTGTTGCAAATGAGCAAAAGCAAACAAATAACGGAAAATGTTGATAAGACCCGATTTCTATGAAAATTTAGGGATGAATGAAAGACAATTCCAGTGGCCAAAACTATGACAGCCCGCTTATAATTAAGATATGAAAATTTGTCACTTGATACAAAAGCATAGATACACTGGAAAGTGTTAGGTAAAAGCTATGAATCAAAGAAATATAATATAGAATTTATATTCTTAAATTATCATATTACTTTTCAGTCAGTCTTCCAATTCAATTTAAACTGAATTCTGAAAGAATATTAATCCACAAAATTTAAACAAATATTCCCCAAAATTCTACTTATTTAAATAATGTTTAGATCACTTTAAATGCCACTATATATATTTAAATGCTCACAAAATTACAAAACTCTTCTCAGATATTCCCTGTAGAGTGGTTAGGGTATTAAAAACTTTAAATCCCTACCCATGATAATACACAAAATCTGTTTAGGTCAGTCGGTATTCTATGTGAGAATGAGTTTGTCTGTATGTCAACCATTGTTGACAGACACAATCAAGCAATCAGAACCTAAAAACTTTATCCCATTATTGGAACTCGTACAAGTAAGTGTGCGTGTGGATGTGCAGGGTATGGCGTGTGTCTACCCTCTAGGCATAATCAAACACAGAAGGCTCTCGTACTAATGCAGTTAACAAACTTGCGGAAACACAACCCACACACACTCGCAATCGCTCTCCATCACCCTAACTCACACTCACACCCACAATGGCGCTTAGAGAGACGACATGCGTGTGAGAGTCTTAAGTGCCACACACATATATATATATATACACACACACACCACATACACATACGCACTCAATGATGATGATGTATTGTGTGAGATGTGAATGTGATTAAATTTCCATAGTAGCTCGTCTTTCATGCCAATTTTCCATTAGTCCTTACAGCTTCCACACTGGAAATAAATAAACTACTTAAGGGAATGTATTTATAAAAATTAGAAGGGAGATATAATGTAATAATATAATCAAATATATTTTATATGTATATTATAATTGTTAAAGAAATAAATACATTTAAAAATGCTGCTAAAAAGTAAGCCATAATGGAGTCAAACTCACACAAGATGCTTTTCCAATGGAATATGCAATTTGAAAAATTGTATTGCATACTTTCCTGCACTTATTCAAAGGATTTAGCATTTGCAGCACTTCCTGTAGCAATCCCTGATATATTTTCAAGGTTTTACTAATTATGTGTTTTTCGTTAATTATTTAACTTAATTAAAACATATTTAAAATTGTACATACTATTATTAAGAAATTAATTACATTACTTTTTAAGACTATAATTTTTTGAAACTAACTTATTAAATTTCTCCAAGTGCGTGCGTGAGTAAAACCCCACTCACACACACACACGCACACACACACATATGCACTTAAAAGCACATCATGACTGTTAGGGGGGAGGGAGGGGAAACGAGGGTCTAGCATATGCTACTCTCTGATGTTTGCTGTGCCGCGTCAAAAAGTGATGATGAATAGTTTGTTTGATGTTACTTTGACCATTCCCATGATCAGCACAAAATAAACTCTATAATGAGCTCTTTCTCTGCATGAATATATATGTACCATCGTACATCCTTAAGGGTGGCAGATGAATGGGTTAAGAGTGCAAAGGGTTAGATTTCAGAAATAGCCTAGTTAACGCTGCTTTAAAAGGAATGTCTAAGGGTAGCTTCCAGATTTCTTGAAATGATTTGGGCTCAATTTATGATAAGCCAGCAATGACAAGGCAAAATATATATGAATCCAAGTTAAGGGGGATTTGAGCGGAAAGGGGCAACATGAACGTGTTGTAATTAAAGTTAATTGGAAGCTCAAAAAACATATTTCTTGTTTCTGGAAGTGCGGTTTAAAATGAGATATATTTTGAGAAATGATTAATGAGCTTCCTATTATTTTTTTGGTATGTTATTAGTCCTTTCAGGGCACACTTTCTTTCCAAAGACCTTTACTTAGACGCTTAAATGGCAATTTGCCTTTAGTCCACAATATAACCCATTAATGGATAGCAATCTAATCATGAACGCTTCACAAATTTGCCACAGCTAACAGCAAGCTCTGTTTTAGGTATTTGAGCCAAGTGCACTCGGCACTCTAACAAAATGGAGCTTAAGCCAAAGCCAAAGCCCCAGACTCCAGACTCCAGACTCCATACTCCAAACCCAACCCTAAACCCAACCCATTGATCTTCCCGGTGCACTCCACTCTGGCCCCCGCTGCCAAGCCATAGCTCCTCGAAACAATTAAATGCTTAGCTCGACAAAAGTCATCATCAGTCTGCTGTTGACTCCCAGCTCTTGGAGAGTGCATCATCATCCCCCAGCTCATTTTCCCCTCCTCATCGACTGAATAATTTACATAAGCAGCGGCCACAGACTTTTCGCTGCAACTCCGCTACCCATTACCCCCAGCCCAGCATCCCCCCTCCCATCCGCTTAGAACCAGGACCACCTTCACCGCTGCTGGCGACAAAAGAGGATGCCAAATTAAAGCCAAAAACCCATGCAGGCAAATCCCTCAACCAGACCTCAGGCAAAATAAAAACAAAACAAGAAAGGAAGCTAACTTCGGCACGCCGAAGTTTATATACCCTTGCAGATAGAACTTCTATGACTTTGAATCCCAACAATATAAATTATATTTATTTGTGTTAAAAAACAATGAAGTAATACCTGCTTTCATTTCATTCACCTTTACATATTATATTTGCAGTTTTACAGTCACAGATGTGAATTTTTTTCCACATCTAACGATCGTTTGTATGACACCTATATAATATAGTCGTCCGATTTTAATAAAATTTTACACAAAATTTAAGACTGATATAAAATGGTTATACCTTAAATTTGATGAAAATCTGTTGAAAACTGAAAATGTTATAATTTTTAATTGTCTTAATTTCTCGATTGTTCCTATGGGAGCTATATGATATAGTTGTCCGATTTTCATTAAATTTATACAAAATTGTAGAGTATAGTAAATGGCTATATCTTAAATTTGATCAAATTCTGTTGAAAACTGAAATTGTTATAATTTTTTTGTAAAAATTATCCGATCATTCCTATGGCAGCTATATGATATAGTCGTTCGATCCGGCCCGTTCCGACATATATACGAGTGAGAGTATATAGAAGGCTAACTGCAAAGTTTCATTCAGATAGCTTCAAAACTGAGAGACTAGTTTGCGTAGAAACGGACAGACGGACAGACGGACAGACGGACAGACGGACAGACGGACAGAAGGACAGACGGACAGACGGACAGACGGACAGACGGACAGACGGACAGACGGACATGGCTAGATCGACTCGGCTGTTGATCCTGATCAAGAATATATATACTTTATATGGTCGGAGGTGCCTCCTTCACTGCGTTGCAAACTTCTGACTGAAATTATAATACCCTGCAAGGGTATAAAAATAACAAACATCCCGGCTGCTTTCCTCCGGATATTCTTTATGTTTTTGTGTAGTTTTTTATATACACGGTATGCAAAGTTGGTTGCTTTTGGGCACAGCATCTCAAAGAATCTGTAAAAAATTTGATCCATTTCAGATGAAGTTTCATTCACATCAATGAATTTGATTGAATTTCAATTCACAAATGTATAGGTTCTTTAAAATATTAAAGAAGTTGGATCAGTTGTGTATTTATAAAATTTATTTGATGTTTTAAAATGATTAACAAATTAAATTAAGTGAAAAATGGAATGCAAGAACATAACATCATATCGTTTTAAAGAAATTAGATTTTAAAATAATATTTTTATTATAAACCTTTCCAGTTCTTTATTTTGTTATAACCTTTAACATATTTTTATTATATTATTATCAGTGTTCTTTACTTTCTAAAAATTCCCATTTCCTAATTAACATTTAAAATAAACTGAAAATTTCAATATACAATAATTATAAATATACTTTTGAACAAGATATATTTTAAAATAAATAATAATATTATTATAATTCTTTGCAGTTTTCAATTACATTATCATCAGTGTTCTTTACTTTCTAACAAATTTAAATTATTTATATTAACTAAAACCTTTATGAGGTATATTTTAGTCGTTAAATCTTCCCTATATTTTTGTGGCTTTTCTTTATATTTTCCTCCTACTTTTCTTTTGTTTTACGTTGCGTTTTTTTGTTTGTTGCTCAGATGTTTTGTTTGGATTTTCGTGCATTCACTTGCGGAATTTTCGTGCTGTTGACTCGGCAACGCATATGAATGTCTCTCTCTTCCCCCCCCCAAAAAAAACCCCTTATATAGAATATCCCAACCCATGGTCCGCCCCATTTGCCATTGCTGCCCCCTTTTCCTTTTTTTTTTTGTTTTGCATTTAGGGAGCATGCATATGTGTTGGCGCATACATAAACAATGGAACACAGGAACAACAACGGGGCGACCAACGCAGGCATAACAATGACAAAAGAACGCATTTCTCCCAAAAACCAAAAACCATCTGAACCATCAGATATACCCCCTCCCCCCTCACACACACACACACACACACACACCCTTTGGTTGGGGTTCCCCTTCTGGGTTCCTCGGTTTCTGTTCCTGGCTGGTTTATTATGCAAAAGTTATGCAAAGATAAGCAAAACTATGAGCAGCAGAAGCGGCGGCACCACCAGCTCCGACAGCCAAAAATTGTGAACGTGCACCCCTAGCCTCAGTATTTGCAGTGAGAGAATGGAGTTGTTCTTCTTAGTTGGTTTCTTAAAAATTCGGAGAATTTTGTTACTAGAAAGATTTGGGATGTTATATAGTATGTTTTCGTTAATATATTAAAAGAAAAAGGGGTTTTCTAAGGGCTTTAATGGTATGTATATTTAATTAGTTCTTAGTTTGATTTTACATCCTCTTAATATCCAAATGCTCAGAGAGAAAGGATTTCTTAGTTGGTTCTTAAAAATTAGAGAGCTTTGGTTAATAGATAAAAAATCTGGGATGTTATAAAGTAGTTATTTCGTTTTAATACTAAAAGAAAAATGTTTGTTTTTCTAAGGTCTTAGCTTTTATTTTATATTCCTATTGCATGACTTAAAAGGTATAATTAATTTGGTTTAGTTTGATTTAACATACTCGAAATATTCACATCCCTTGTGTAATTAAAGAGGATGATGATGGCAGAATATATATTACTGAAAGAAATCCTACTTAATATACAAGAATTTATTAGATATATAGTAAAAATAAATATAGATCGCCTGAGGCAACTTAAAATTGCCCTTTACTAATATCTTGGATCCGACTTTTTATCATTCAATCATTATAATGCTTGTACGTAAAAAGAAGTAAAATTAATATTTCTATTTCGAAAAGCTACTACCTTATTATACTTTTCCACTATAATAAAATAAAGATTTATTAAACAGCTGATTATTTCATATATTTCAAATAAAATACCAGTTCCATTGAATATCTTCTAAAAATATTTTATGTTCAAATAAAATACCAATTTCTAAAAGTGTACCATCTCCCCCCTCATATATCCCCCTAAAGGACAAACGGGTTTGGGTTCCTGTTCTTTTTTTTTTTTGAGTTGATTTTTTGTTGTTTTTTTTTTTGGGTTTTTGTTGTTGATTTGGTGGGAAGTCGGGCAGCTGTTATGGGACACCCACCAAGTCATTCAAGTTAATTGTGCGGCCAAATGCAAAAATCAACTTTTTTACAAGTTCAAAGGCGGGGTTTGGGGGAAGGTGGCGTAGTTCTGGCTTTATGGAGGCTCGTCGGCACCTCGTGAATGAAATGGACACTTAAACTCTAATCGAAAAACTTTTGCCCATATACAAGTCACTTTAAAATGCGCTTAATTTGATCAGCGTGCGGCGATTGTCGACTCAGTCAATTCTCATTTCTCTTCACA